TTTCATCTATTGCCAGTGCTTTTTCGCAACATTCTTTTGCTTCATCAAGTTTCCCGAGATCCTGCAACACTGATCCTAAATTATTTAACGTTGTAGCCACCTCAGGATGATTGCTGCCGTAAGTGATTTCATCTATTGCCAGTGCTTTTTCGCAACATTCTTTTGCTTCATCAAGTTTCCCGAGATCCTGCAACACTGATCCTAAATTATTTAACGTTGTAGCCACCTCAGGATGATTGCTGCCGTAAGTGATTTCTTTAATTTCCAGTGCTTTTTCCAAACATTCTTTTGCTTCATCAAGTTTCCCGAGATCCTGCAACACTGATCCTAAATTATTTAACGTTGTAGCCACCTCAGGATGATTGCTGCCGTAAGTGATTTCTTTAATTTCCAGTGCTTTTTCCAAACATTCTTTTGCTTCATCAAGTTTCCCGAGATCCTGCAACACTGATCCTAAATTATTTAAAGTTGTAGCCACCTCAGGATGATTGCTGCCGTAAGTGATTTCGTACATTGCCAGAGCTTTCTTGTAACATTCTTTTGCTTCATCAAGTTTCCCGAGATTCTTCAACACTAATCCTAAATTATTTAAAGTTGGAGCCACCTTAGGATGATTGCTGCCGTAAGTGCTTTCTTCAATTGCCAGAGCTTTTTCCAAACATTCTTTTGCTTCATCAAGTTTCCCGAGATCCTGCAACACTGATCCTAAATTATTTAAAGTTGTAGCCACTTCAGGATGATTGCTGTCGTAAGTGCTTTCAATTAGGCAGTTGATGATCTCACATAATGTTCTTGCTGTGCTAAATTTCCAATGGTTTTTACATACACGAGCAACAGTTTCCATGAGGAACATTGCAAATGGAATGTATTGATGTGTAAATAATTTATTAGATCGATAATGTACTCCATATGGGTTTGCTTCATTTAGTACCTTTACAATTTGATGCCTCTCAAAATACTTCTTCACCTTTTCCGAGAAAAAGACAAGGTGYTGAAGTAGAGGAGCTGTTTCTTGGAAGAACTTGATTATATCTGCGCCCATGTCCCTGATGTAAGAAAATACGTTGACGAATTTCATGAAAAATGAAAATTCAGCGGCTTGTTGCTGGAATGTTACTTGATAGACGGATTGAAGAACATCATAGACAACTTGGTGAACGCGAACTGACTGTCGTTTAGAGCTATCTTCGGAAGTAATGATGATTGCGGACGAGRTAATGGTTATAGCTACATTCTCTTTTTCCATTTCAGGCATGCACTGACGTACATAGTTGATAACGTGTTCTAGTGATATGAACTCTGGGGCAACAGCAGCCATAAATTCAAATGTATGCCGTAACACCTCACTCTTTTCTAAAATCTTCTCAACTGCCATCGTAATAGCAGTCTTCATAGATCTCTGGTAAGGGTGATTTGTTTTCTCGTAAAACTCATCAGTCGACATCAGATTTCCTTTCTCCACTTTTTGAAGATAAATTTCCCAGTTCATGTTTGGATCAGCGTAGTGTGTTTGTTTGATGTACACTGCTGCACAGGCAAGCGCTAGAGGTTGAAAGTCTAGTTTTTCGCATAATTTCTTTGCGATTTCTTCGTCGCATGA